ATTCCACCAGTGATAAAAAAATCTCTATTTAATCCATTTTAAATTCAGGCTGTAACAACAAAATGTGGAAAAAGTCAAGGGGTGTGAATACTTTCTGAAGGCACTGTAGCTAGCTATGTGTGTGGAAGACATTTCATCACAGGTAAGATATTTAACTTGTTTAGTTGTCTGTTTATAACTCTACTCACTACTTGTGGCTGTATAGTCCGTTTGTTTGTGTTGTTTGTCTTGGCTAGCTTAATGTTCCGGTAGCTAACTAGCACTCACTTACGTGGCTGCTAGCACCGTCATGAAAAGGGGCATGCGGGAAGCCCTACATGCCTGCAATATAAGGTTTTTCTAAGTCATGAGAACGCTCGGGAGCAGGCAATGTTGAAAAGTAATCTTTAGACATGTTGTACTTTTCTTCAATGTAGTTTTGTCAAATCAAATCAAGCTTTATTTATACAGCACATTTCAGACATGGAATGCAATGCAATGTGCTTTACAGGAAAATGTACTAATTGACTAAAAAAAGCAGACAAGAAAATAGCTTTTGAAAAAGGTTACGTTTTTGCTGTGAGCCAATGGGGTAACCTAAATAACCACAGGTTGTTTTCCCCACAGGTGGGCGGGGCCGCCACGTTCTATTTAATACAGACTGAGACTATGCTGGATAGCTATGGTAATGTATCATGTTAATTCAAATGATGCTAACTGATGTGGCTCATGCAATGGAATGTATTTGTTGTAATGTTAGTTGAGTTGACTCAACAAATGGCAGCACAGATTGAAGGGTACACTTCCTGCTTTTACTTCCTGGCACAGATACACATGGCGAGGTGTGGCTTAACTTCACCACGCCCCCGAGTAGAGTACAGCCATAGGGTACTCCTGTTACTCCCATGTATTTAGTCTAACTTTGGCGTCATCCTAAGCAAACTGCTTTTTGTCGTATTCACTTGTCGTTATTAACATACTTGGTTGTCACAACAACAAATTATTTGCATTACTTATTCTGCCACTAATTTGTTATCTGACCTGCTAACACTGACAGTTAAGCTGTCGCATTATACTTATGTCACTGTTTGTTTACCCCTATTTTTTTTGCCGGTTAGCTGACGTTAGCTGGCTGGCTAGCAAGAGAACTTCATCTCAATCTAATTCGCTAGTCTTAGATGTGTCGCATAACTAATTCCAGTCTTTGCCTACCCTTGAACAATCTAGGTATTTAGAAAAGTTGATTCTTGTTGTCTTGCCTATATGGCCTTTCAACTTGGCGGAGACCAGTTGGGGATACAACCCTACCAAATGTCCCAAACCAAATTAGCCTATGGCAATATCTACATGTAGTTGGTGGAATCTCCCGGTTTACATAAATATCCAAATGCATAAGAATATTATGGCTGTTATTTGGATGGATACAGCTCTCTAGTCTTTACTACAAGCGAACTAGCAAGCTTTATGCAAAGTGACGAACTACTTGAACACACAAATTCTTTGAGTAACCGGAGCCCATAGCTTTCCATAATCACGGTGTAATAGCCTGAAACCATGAGGTTCGTCTAACCTGGTCCTTGGGTAGTTGATGAAACTTAATTTGGTGGTGTTTTCTCCGACTATTGTTCAAACAAAATGGTACGCAACAGCTTTTCAGCATTTTAAAAGCAGGGTTAGTTAGCTAATTGAAGAAAGTCCATTGGAATCGGCTCTTTGGCTAATAATCATGACGTATATTCCATGCAACAGTCTATCTGTTCATGCTAACATTTTTACGTTTAGAATGAAAGTGTTTTTAGGTATGATGTAGTTTGTTGATTAAGACGACATGGAAGCATGTTAAAAATGACCAATGAAGCATAACCAAAATGTTTAGAGAATTATATATTTTTTTAAAAAGAATACAGCCATGATCGGGTTATGCGTAAAGTAGGCAATTTAACATGGGAGTACCCTACGGCCGTGTTCCAGTTCCCACCAATATCCAGCAACTTTGCACAGTCATTGAAGAGGAGTGGGACAACATTCCACATGCTACAATCAACAGCCTGGTCAACTCTATGCGAAGGAGATGTGTCGCACTGCATGAGGCAAATGGTTGTCACACCAGATACTGACTGGTTTTCTGATCCACGCCCCTACTTATTTTTAAAAGGTATCTGTGACCAACAGATGCATATTTGTATTCCCAGTTATGTGGAATCCATAGATTAGGGCCTAATGAATGTATTTAATTTGACTGATTTCCTTATATGAACTGTAATGCAGTAAAATCTTTGAAATTGTTGCATGTTGCATTTATATTCTTGTTCAGTGTAAGTATAAGCTGCAAAAGTATCTAGGGCTTACAAAATCATCCAGTCGACACATTTAATAGAATGGCGCTGCAGGGAATGGCGGCCGTTTTACAGGATCCTGATCAATTGGGCTATTTTGTGTACTTCTTTGGGCTGATCTTACCTTTTTTTGTACATAATGTTTCCGCCATCGTTTCCTATGACCGAAAATAGCTTCTGGACATCAGAACAGCTATCACTAACCTCCATTTGGATGAGGACTTCTACTTTTAATCGGAGGCAAAATACATATTGATTATCCCGAACCAGGCCCCGACACTCATAGAAGGCGAAGACGGCGCTATAGAGGCCGGAGTGTCGGCACTATGGTGGCGAATTAATAAATCGCCTCTACCCTCTGTTCTACTGGTGAATGTGCAATCGTTGGATAATAAACTGGAAGAGCTCCATTCGAGACTATCCTATCAATGGGACATTAAGAACTGTAATATACTATGCTTCTCGGAGTCATGGCTGAACAAGGACATGGATAATATAGCTTCTTTTTCTAAGCATCGGTAAGATCAGGGTTGGTGGTGGTGTGTCTCTTTATTAACAACAGCTGGTGTGCGATGATTTAGAATACCTAATTATTAGATGTACACCATACTATTTAGCAAGAGAGTTTCTTTTCTTTCTCGTAGCTGTCTATTTACCACTACAAACCGGTGCTGGCGCTTCCTGTTGCCGTGATTTTAATGCGGAACACTGAAATCTGTTTTACCTAATTTCTACCAGCATGTCACCTGTGCAACTTAAGGGATATATCACCTTTACTCCACACAGAAAGCTCTCCCCTGCCCTCCAATCGGCAAATCAGACCATAAATCTATCCTCCGGATTCCTGCTTATGCTAAGCTACAGGACTGTTTTGTAGCAGTCTGTGTAGGTATTTCCACTTCCATGTAATACCTACATGTTTCAAGCAAACCACCATAGTCCCTTTGCCTAAGAACGCAAAGGTAACCTGCCTAAATGACTGCCGCCCCGTAGCACTCACATCTGTAGCCATGAAATGCTTTGAAAGGGTGGTCAAGGCTCACGTCAACGCCATCATCCCAGAAACCCCGCCCCAACAGATCCACAGATGACGCAATTTCTATTGCACTCCACACTGCCCTTTCCCACCTGGACAAAAGGAACACCTACGTGAGAATTGACTATAGCTCAGTGTTCAACACCATAGTGCCCTCCAAGCTCATCACTAAGCTAAGGACCCTGGGACTGAACACCTCTGCATCTGGATCCTGGACTTCCTGACGGGAAGGCAATAACACATCCGCCACTCTGACCCTCAACACAGGTGCCCCTCAGGGGTGCGTGCTCAGTCCCCTTCTGTACTCCCTTTTCACCCACGACTGCGTGTCCGCGACTCCAACACATCATTAAGTTTGCCGACAACACGCGGTGGTAGGCCTGATCACCGACAACGATGAGACAGCCTATAGGCAGGAGGTCAGGAGACCTGGCAGTGTGGTGCCAGGACAACAACCTCTCCCTCAACGTGGGCAAGACAAAATGATCTTATCGTGGACTACAGGAAACGGAGGGCCGAACACAAACTCATTCAGATCGACGGGGCTGTAGTAGAGCGGGTCGGGTGTCCACATCACTAAGGACCTATCATGGTCCAAACACACCAACACAGTCGTGAGGAGGGCACGACAACGCCTGTTCCCCCTCAGGAGGCTGAAAAGATTTGGCATGGGCCCTCAGCTCCTCAAAATGTTCTAAAGCTGCACGATTGAGAGCATCTTGACTGGCTGCATCACCGCTTGGTATGCCAACTGCTCGGCAGCTGACCGCAAGGCACTCCAGAGGGTAGTGCATACGGTCCAGTACATCACTGGGGCCGAACTCCTCTATACCAGGCGGTATCAGAGGAAGGCCCTAAAAACAGTTGAAGACTCCAGCCACCCAAGTCATAGGCTGTTCTCTCTGCTACCGCACGGCAAGCGGTACCGGAGCGCTGAAACTGTGACCAAAAGGCTTCTTAACAGCTTCTACCCCCAAACCATAAGACTGCTGAACAGTTAATCAAATGGCTACCCTGACTATTTACATTGACCCCCTTTATTATTTATTTTTCTTAATTGTTTTGCACTGGCTCTATGCACACTCACTAGACTCTACGCACACACTCACACATACTACACTCCAACACACACTACACACACACAGACACTTTCATACACTGCTGATACTGTTTATTATATATCCTGATTGCCTAGTCACTTTTACCCCTACCCACATGTACATACTGCATTACCTCAATTATAGCATTATTGTTTTTATTGTGTTACTATTTTATTTAGCAAATATTTGTCTTACTATTTAACTCTGAACTGTTGGGAATGGGCTTGTGAGTAAGCATTTCACTGTAAAGTCTACACCTGTGTATTTAATTTAATCAATAGATGCTTTCATAATGATATACAGCATCTCTCTGGGGAATGCATTTAAATAACACGGCAAAGAAGCGGGTTTGGCTTGACACAAAACGGTCTAAGACAGGACAAGTGCTGCATTCCTACTTATTACAAAGGTGTGCCTGAGTGACAAGTAATAGCCTGGAATCCACACTGATATGCTCAGTTTCACCATGGTTCACCATCGCATATCAGTTTGGATTCCAGGCTAGACAAGTAAGTTCTTCCGAATTAAAAACCAACATCACTGACGCACCATGGAGTTTACTGAGCGCGCGTCGTCCTCGTAGTTGACCATGGGGGGCAGCTCCTTGCCCTCGTTCTTCTGCATCTTGTGGTCGAGCAGGTCCTTCTGGGCGCCCAGCTTGGCCTCGGTGCAGCACAGCAACTGGACAGTCTGCCTCAGCTCCTCCAGAGACTGCTTCTGACTGAGCAGCAGAACCGCACTGATGGGGAGAGGGGGGAGGGAGAATGAGAGAGGGAGAGAGAGAATGAGTGTCGTGTGAGAGAGAAACAAAGAGAGGCAGAGAGATGGAGAGAGAAAATGGGAGTGCGTGTGTGAGAGTGAAAAGATAGGTATTGATATGGGGGGGGAGTCACACTGGCGCTCGTCTGAATTCAAACAGTATTACTGCTTAATCTGCCTCTTGGAACGAGGATGTGGCAAATTATTTTTTGGTTTGCTTTCTCCAGAGGGATATATAGCCTACAGGGCAACAGCTCTAAATCCTAACTTTATCTGTGCTCTGATTAATGGGTGTGAAGACCAATTGTTTTCGGCACTGATTGCAAACTTGAACGTTGTGAAAATTCTGTGCAACTTCCAGCGCGCGTTTACTGTGAACACTGAGGCTGTACCCGCTTTAAGTTACATGTTTAACAGTGGCCAAGTAGGCTACTGTGGCTATTTGATCATAATGTAGGCCTACAAGAGTGGCCTACCATCAAAAACAATGGAGAAAATGCGTCCCATAACATTTTAACATGGAAATAGCGGTTCTATCATTCAGCCTACAGTAGCAGCCAAGGTGTGGTGTTCAATGTAGGCCTACATTCCATGAGACGTTTGGAAAAAAAAAACATGCAGGGCTTGACTTTAACCTGTTTATCCACTTGTCCTTCAGACAAGGTGACTGAAAATGTTGTATTGTTTGATGCAAGAAACCACTTTACAAAATAAAATGCATTATTATTCCCATACCATTATTACAGAGAACCAGACAAATTATGCTACCCTCTGCCTATTGGCTACTTAGCTTATTCAAGCCTGCCTCAAAAAACAACACTCTTTACCTGACTCACTTTTCAAAGACATCTAGAAATGTGCTCTTGTAGGAAGCAATACCTCCCCTATTACTGACTACAAATTACATATAACTGGCCTAATAACTCACTAACTAGCAAAGGATAGTAACAAAATGTGCACACACGGCTACATGCAGCTCTCGCTTTGATCTCAAAACAATCGCATCTACTCACGACTGCTCATGCTGTTAACACAGTCCAGTTCAAAGTAAATGGCCCAGATCCATATATGGCAATGGTCTATTTGCATATAGGCCTACTGCAGCTCTGATGGTGCCTGCATCTGATGGTCAGTTTCAGCGGAGGGAGAGCGTAGCAGACTGAGGGTTCATCTCTCAACCTCCCTCCACTCTCCCTTTCCTCCACTGACACTGACCAAAAAGGGACAGTCTTCCAGATGATGCCTTAACACCAGTTGCACCACATTATTTCTGCCTCATGCACAAATTCCATGTTGTTACTCCAATGAACAGAGAAAGTGAAATATTCCTTGATATCAAAAAAGACCCAAGCCGCTAATACTAACAACAATGCAGGCCTATAGATACATTTTCTTACTCATTCATTCATTACTGCTGCAGTGCTTGTTGTAGCGCTGAGTGGAAATAGGAAGAACGCGCATTTTATGGCTTATAAAAGTGTTAAATACAAAGTGTTGACAGTGCTGAGTAAGAACTTAAACATGAACTCACTCATAAAAATAGTAGCTCTTTGCTGTATTCGTTGACAGTCTCTCTCTAGTCATGGTTTTAAATGTTTTGAAATCTCACAGTATCAACTTTGCTGTAGCCTTCTTTTATGCCTGCTACGTTACTGCAGACACGGTAATCTGAGCCATCCGATTGGCCAGCGGTAGGCCTATAGTGCACTTGACTTGCTCTCCGGGCCCGCCGGGAAGGTAGAGTTTGTACCGTCAGACACATTAAATGGTTCAAAATGGCAACAGTTGCCTACCCGGCGCGGAGGTCAGCTGAATCAGGTGCACCTACCGCCAACAGCCCGAGACCCCCCCAAAAAAAAAAGGAACACAAGGCTTTATCGTTGGGTTTTTTACAGAAACGTTTGCCGATCGACTAGGAATGCCTTGGAGATCGACCAGTTGATCGCGATCGACCGGTTGGTGATCACTGCTCTAGAAAGTTGAGTGAAGTTCCTGCCCGCGCACAGCTTAGAGGGAACATTGGTGAAGACATTTCAGTCAAACACCCAACAAATTGCTGTGGAAGCTGGGATCCATTTAAAAGTGATGCTAGAACTTGTGAATAAGCACAATTCTTCACATCAAACAACTTCTCACTACTTGAAAATGGTCCTCATCAAATGACCATCACTTAATTTATGTTTTCAAAAAAACTTCAGACAGGAAAACAACTAGCCTAGGCCATACAACCAGTCCTCATCCTTTATCAAATCTGTAGCTGAGACTTTACAGGGGGATGACTGGACAGGCCCTGATTATCCAGCAGACCCTGAAATATGTGCTGAGCCCTGTGCTACAGACACAGCTCTCTCCATTGTACCCTGTCCGCCTCAATGACTCTTCACATCATTCATGCTCCTGGAGTTAGATCATGGCCAACTGTGCTTCTTAGAAACAACACCAAACATGAAATCTAGCTAGCTAGTCGCTAATGGTCTCTAAGTTGCTATTACTAATGGGAGGTGTACAACTGACAGCAATGAGATCAAGGGAAACATCGAACATATCAGCCGTTTCATCCGCTTTTAATGTCCTTTGAACCCTTGCAACAAAGTACCATATGTGCATTTTGAAAAAATCTGATATTGTCCTCCAAATTGTTTTTGTGTGTACCATATCAAGTGTCATTATTGAAAGATCATGTCATCACACTTCTCCTCTTTCAATTATACTTGCTAGTTTTTGATTTCACACTTCTTTTGCATACGTTTTATAATGATTCATGAAATCTAATTACACATATAGTTCTTCGTCTGTAGGATATATTTGCAAGTAGCTGCTATCTGAAATAATCTCACATAGCAGCTTGCATCTTCAGAATGGAAGAAGAATTGAGCAGTACATTTATGGTAGAAACTTGTCTGATTAATCAGGCTGTAATAAACAATTATTGGTATATTCAGTCTGAAACACTGGAGTGCAAAATCCTTACAAGCCACTGACACTAGGGAGTATTTTGTGTAGATCGTTGACCAAAAATTACAATGAAATCCATTTTAATCCAACTTTATAAGACAAAATGTGGAAAAAGTCAAGGGTTGTGGATACTTTCTGAAGGCACTGTATATGGTTCTGTAGGCTTGTATTTCCAGTATGTATTTTCAATCTACTGGCTCACAGAACAGAGCTCCGGGCAGCGGAGCGGAAATGGAAGAAAACTAAACTCCCTGACGACCTGGCATCTTTTCACTCCCTCCTCTCTACACTTTCTTCATCCGTTTCTGCTGCTAAGGCCACTTTCTACCACTCTAAATTCCAAGCATCTGGCTCTAACCCTAGGAAGCTCTTTGCCACATTCTCCTCCCTGCTGAATCCTCCTCCCCCCCCCCCTCCTCCCTCTCTGTGGATGACTTCGTCAACCACTTTGAAAAGAAGGTTGACGACATCCGATCCTCGTTTGTTAAGTCTAATGACACTGCTGGTCCTGCTTACACTGCCCTACCCTATGCTTTGACTTCTTTCTCCCCTCTCTCTCCAGATAAAATCTTGCGACTTGTGACTGCAGGCCGCCCAACAACCTGCCCGCTTGACCCCATCCCCTCCTCTCTTCTCCAGACCATCTCCGGTGACCTTCTCCCCTACCTCACCTCGCTGATCAACTCATCCTTGACCGCTGGCTATGTCCCTTCCGTCTTCAAGAGAGCGAGAGTTGCACCCCTTCTCAAAAAACCAACACTCGATCCCACTGATGTCAACAACTACAGACCAGTATCCCTTCTTTCCAAAACTATTGAGCGTGCCGTCTTTAGCCAACTCTCTTGCTATCTCTCTCAGAATGACCTTCTTGATCCAAACCAGTCAGGTTTCAGGACTGGTCATTCAACTGAGACTGCTCTTCTCTGTGTCACGGAGGCTCTCCGCACTGCTAAAGCTAACTCTCTCTCCTCTGCTCTTGTCCTTCTAGACCTGTCTGCTGCCTTTGATACTGTGAACCATCAGATCCTCCTCTCCACCCTCTCCGAGCTGGGCATCTCCGGCGCGGCTCACTCCTGGATTGCGTCCTACCTGACCGGTCGCTCCTACCAAGTGGCGTGGCGAGAAGCTGTCTCCGCACCACGTGCTCTCACCACTGGTGTCCCCCAGGGCTCAGTTCTAGGCCCCCTCATATTCTCCCTATACACCAAGTCACTTGGCTCTGTCATATCCTCACATGGCCTCTCCTATCATTGCTACGCAGACGATACACAACTAATCTTCTCCTTTCCCCCTTCTGATAACCAGGTGGCGAATCGCATCTCTGCATGTCTGGCAGACATATCAGTATGGATGACGGATCACCACCTCAAGCTGAACCTTGGCAAGACGGAGCTGCTCTTCCTCCCGGGGAAGGACTGCCCGTTCCATGATCTCGCCATCACGGTTGACAACTCCGTTGTGTCCTCCTAACCAGAGTGCGAAGAGCCTTGGCGTGACCCTGGACAACACCCTGTCGTTCTCCGCTAACATCAAGGCGGTGACCCGATCCTGCAGGTTCATGCTCTACAACATTCGGAGAGTACGACCCTGCCTTACACAGGAAGCGGCACAGGTCCTGATCCAGGCACTTGTCATCTCCCGTCTGGATTACTGCAACTCGCTGTTGGCTGGGCTCCCTGCCTGTGCCATTAAACCCCTAAAACTCATCCAGAATGCCGCAGCCCGTCTGGTGTTCAACCTTCCCAAGTTCTCTCACGTCACCCCGCTCCTCCGCACACTCCACTGGCTTCCAGTTGAAGCTCGCATCTGTTACAAGACCATGGTGCTTGCCTATGGAGCTGTGAGGGGAACGGCACCTCTGTACCTTCAGGCTCTGATCAGTCCCTACACCCAAACGAGGGCATTGCGTTCATCCACCTCTGGCCTGCTGGCTCCCCTTCCTCTGCGGAAGCATAGTTCCCGCTCAGCCCAGTCAAAACTGTTCGCTGCTCTGGCACCCCAATGGTGGAACAAGCTCCCTCACGACGCCAGGACAGCGGAGTCACTCACCACCTTCCGGAGACATTTGAAACCCCACCTCCTTAAGGAATACCTGGGATAGGATAAAGTAATCCTTCTACCCCCCCCTAAAATAAAATAAAAAATTGTAAAGTGGTTATCCCACTGGCTATAGGGTGAATGCACCAATTTGTAAGTCGCTCTGGATAAGAGCGTCTGCTAAATGACGTAAATGTAAATGTAAATGCATGTGACGTTAACACTTGCACAACATTTAAACAATAGCTGAGAGTCACCGAACCAAAGACCGAACTAGCTACGTTCCCTCGCATTCAGCTGGCAGTGGCAAACCTACCGGCTCTCAAAAAAGTCAGAAAAACTATTTCCTGTGGATATTTTGTCTCAAATTCAAGTGTAATTTTATTCAACATTCTGTCTTGTAAGGACCATTTACATGATTCGGCCCCCCTATTTTCAGGCTGTATATATCAATTAATTGTGTATTATAGCCTGATTAATCAGACAAGGTAGCAACGTACTCAGACTTCTTTTCACATGTTCTGGTGGACTCCTCGATCTTGTTCTCCAGGTCCTGCATGAGCTCCTCCTTGCTGCGTAGGCTCTGCTGAGTGAGGACCAGCTCATCTGATGTGGATTTCAGCCTGTGGAAGAAAATGCAGTGGATTAAATTGTTGTTCTGACCTTTGACATAATCAGTCAAACACAGATACACACACTATATCCTCAGTCAATCAGAGATGCTGTACTACAGCTGAGATGAGACAGTGGATGGATCTCAAAAGTCCTTCCTTGATTCCTCCCACCTTCTTTTCAAAACGTCAGAGCGAAACAAGGTCAATGAGGGCAATACTCTCCTCCCTTCATACATTGTTTTACTCACATCGCTTGTAAACTGTCTGCAGTCAAATTGTTCCATAGGATCTCGTTTGCTTGAAGATTCTCTGTTTCCTCCAACAGTGAAATGTCAAATTCTACATTCGGTTCTTTGGTTTCTGGAGACCTGGAAGATGACATCTCATGTTAACCAAAATCATTGAAATGGGGACAAAAGTACTGTTACTTAAAGGAAAATTCCACCAAAAAACATTTGGTATTTGTTTTATTAGTCCATTGTTGATATAGTCCCAAAATGTTTTGCATGTCAGCAATCAAGTTTTCAAGATATGTAACTTTCAAAATACATAAAGCTGTCCAGTATGATGTAAAAAGCAGCTTCATATGATGCCAAATGCATCATATGGGCCAGATATCTGTTTTGAAAGTTACATATCTTGAAAACGTGATTGCTGACATGCAAAACATTTGGAGATTATATCAACAATGGACTAGTTTTTGGGTGGAATTTTCCTTTAAAGGCGGGCTGAACTGACTGATTTAGCCTCTGTGTCAAGCCTCCTCATTAGGAAATGTAACTTAGAATGAGATTTGGGTCTTGGAGGCATGCTTTGATGTGGGCCCCGTGTAGCTCAGTTGGTAGAGCATGGCATTTGCAACGGCAGGGTTGTGGGTTCGATTCCCACGGGGGGGGGGGGCAGTACGAAAAAATAGTTTTGCACTCACTAACTGTAATTCGCTCTGGATAAGAGCGTCTGCTAAATGACTAAAATGTAATGTGGGTGTCTCATGTGTGTGTTCGCAAGCGGGAAGGGTTTGTACATTCACTCTGCCAAAACAGTATACAATTAGTCACTCACCCTTCTAGATAACTTGAAACAGTCTAATCAGGTCTTGTGTCTGGAAGTAGCTTCCTTCGCCAATTAGCTTCAGCCGGCCGGTGTGTGACCGTGGCAAAGTTGGTTTGACTTTGGATAGCCTATCTGTGGGGCTAGTTAGGGACCGCCAATAAATTACACAATGTAAATGGGACAATATTTTCATGTTGAATACCTTTTAGTTGTCTCATTAAATGCTTTCAATATGAATTTCTACAATTTAAAGTTGTTTTGAGGTTTATAACTCATTGAAACCTGGAGCTATTGAAATGTTAAAATATTGTCCCATGTACACTGAGTGTACAAAAACATTAAAAATACCTTCCTAATATTGAGTTCCACCCTCCCCCCTTTTGCTCTCTGAACAGCCTCAAATTGACTGGATGTCCTTTGGGTGGTGGACCATTCTTGATACACAAGGGAAACTTTGGAGCATGAAAAACCCAGCAGCGTTGCAGTTCTTCACACAAACCAGTGCGTCTGGCACCTACTACCATACCCCATTCAAAGTCACTTAAATATTTTGTCTCGCCCATTCACCCTCTGAATGGCATACATACACACTCCATGTCTCAATTGTCTCAAGGCTTAAAAATCCTTCTTTAACCTGTCTCCACCCCTTCATCTACACTGAGTAAAGTGGATTTAACAAGTGACATCAATAAGGGATCATAGCTTTCACCTGGTCAGTCTACGTCATGGAAAGAGCAGTTGTTCATAATGTTTTGCACACTCATTGTACATTGTGTAATTTACTGTTAGTCCTTAACTAGCACCATAGAGATATCCAAAGTCAAACCAAATTGACCATAGGCATTACGATTGGGTATTGATGATTACTTGGGTGCTGCCAGCTGTGGGCAGGCTTGAAATATACCCAACCCAAGGAAAACTGTGGCGTACCCTTAATTCTGTGAAAAATAAATCCTAATCATCTCGCACATCTCAGGTCTTGGACAGACTGACTTTATGACCAAAATTATTCTATTTACCCTTTGTAGTACATTTTGACACTAGAATAAATGTTTCTGAGTCATCAATGCCACATATGCCGTTTTCAACCAGAGAAGTGGGTGTTTCGATTCAGTCTCTCTTTAAGGCAAAATCACTCAAACCTACCTGTAGACCTCAATGAAGTGTTCATACTCTGACACAGGGTCAATTTGGTCGATGGAGGTGTGGATTTCTTTGTGGACCTTCACTATTTCATCAGTTAAGAGACTGGTGATTTCACTGTATTCCTCCAAAATCCCCTTCCTGGAAATTACAGAACAGTCGGAAAATCATAAAACAAGGTTAGAATATGCTCAATTTCAGTTTGAGAAAACAAGCAATCTATAGTATAAATCGCTTTGAAATATAATTTCAATAACAAAAAATATTGTATTCTTATTTCGTTGAAGTCGGTGGACCAAACTGAAAGTAAAAGCCTCAAGCGCAAGTCTCCACTGTATTGCAGGGAAATGGGATGCAGGGGAGGGGGATAGTTGTTTAGAATGCAGCCTAAGTGTTGTTGCAATTCGCCTAACTTCCACAAGGGGGAATGTTAGAAATAGTTGCTTAAAGTAAAACTGCATCCAAAAACTATTTTGTTATTTGTTTAATTAGTCCATTGTTGATATAGTCCCAAAATGTTTTGCATGTCAGCAATCAAGTTTTCAAGATACAGAACTTTTAAAATAGATAAATACTGCCGGTATGAGGCATTTAGCGTCATATGATGCCGGCTGTAAACAAATACCAAAAGATAGTTTTTGGGTGCAATTTTACTCAGTGTTGTAGTACTCGAGACCGGTCTCGAGACCACATATTGAGTGTCTCGGTCTTGTCTAGCGACTAGCGACAAATCTAGCGACTTTTTCTGGCGTTATTGGAGACTTTGACGTGAAAGCACGTATCGTTCTTACTCTTCTCAACGAGCAGCGGGTGCTGCCGTGGGCCCCACCCCCGTCCCAAAGCACTCACAGGCGGCCCAGTCCTTGCGCAGCAGTCCCTCCCAGCTGCAGTCAGAGCAGGAGATGTTCATTTGCAGTCTGGACGCGGAGGGGTGAACATCTCCTGCTCGGACTGCAGCTGGGAGGGGGGACTGCTGCGCGAGGACTGGGCCGCCTGTGAGTGCTTTGGGACGGGGGGTGGGGCCCACGGCAGCACCTGCTGCTCGTTGAGAAGAGTAAAAACGATACGTGCTTTCACGTCAGTCTCCAAAAATCTCCAATAACACCAGAAAAAGTCGCAAGATTTGTCGCTAGTCACTTTTTTGAAAATGTGTCGCTAGAGGGGTCTGAAAACTCGCTAAATATAGCGACTAAGTCGCTAAGTTGGCAACACTGACAATAGGTAAGCAAACCAGGTATTGAAAAAGTTTAGTCCGAAGTGTTGGCTAGTAGGCTATTTGTGATGCGCAATTGTCGTCATGCGCTGTTTGCATCAGGGGCGTAGACATGGATGGGCCTGTGTGGACAGAGGCCCATCCACTTGGGAGCCAGGTCCTGACAGGCCCACCCAATCAGGTTGATGTGGTTTAAGCATTGTTGTGCACTTACACCATCAAATGTGTCTTTTTTTCTATTTAAACGTGTGAAAATCTGAAAAATCTATAGGAAAACTCGATTTTTCACACAGGGTGCCTTTCCTTCGCTGGGTGGGCCATTTGGGAACTTTTGGGCAAAATTAGATTATACCCACTTCTCCAGGCAACACTGCATAGGGCCGATGGAAAGACAGCAGTCGCACACAGCATGATGTTAAAGGATAAGCAGTCCATAAACTCTGACATAATAAGCCAGTAGGTCCACAAAAACACAACCATTAAGCAATTCCCAATCGAAATGTACAACTATTACTTCCCGTTGCAAAAAACATTTCACGTTTAGCACACAAAGTAACCAGTGACCTAAAGTTTAAAGGGGAACTGACAGCGTTTTAACTACTTTGCAGATATGAAACACACAATCATAATATCAATCAAAAATATCAATTTCCCAGTTTATGCTACAAAACCAACTTTATAAGAGGTTTTAAAAATAGGTTATATTTGACTCAACATTCCATGATGTACACTAAGGCATTGTTGACAGAATAGATGGATGCAGTTCAATGCATGATTAATAATTCGCCAATCCATTTCTTGGTAGTCCAAAATATATTGCTATCAGGTTGTAAATCACAGCTGGCCTGGTACATTGTTTGCTGCCTCCATTCGGGATGCACGGTTTCAGTTTCAATGACTCAATATTCTGGACAAAAACGGACGAATGTAACTAAGGCTGGGAATGTCAATACAATCAAACTAGCAAGGGCAATGATCACAAGTCAGTCACAACATGGCTAATAGGCTAGCATATCTATTTATGTAGCAAGCTAAGAACACAGAGTCTAACGTTAGCTAGATAGCTAGCTAGCTGCTAGGAGGATGTCATGTCATGCTATTGGCGGAGTGGGTGAGTGACTGACTTTTTCCCTTTATATCATTTTTCGGAGGCTATACACAGCTAGAGATGCAGGTGTGATTTGGTTAGCTGGCAAGAACTTGAACAACTGTTATCCAGTTAGCATATGTCTTGCGTTCGCAAATTCACTCTGGCTATCTACTCCGACTTCAGAGTGCAGAACTGATGAATTTACGAACGCGCAACACCCGCTGAATATGACAAGCGTCAGTAAACGTAGGCAAAAAAAGTAATAGTTAGTCAAGAACGCTCTAGATAACATGTAAACAGCCTAGTCACCTCTGCTACGGCAAGAAAAATGGTCACAGTGACATGTTTTCTCATTTGTGTCTGGAAGTAGCTAGCTAGCAAGCTAGCCAGCTTTAGCCAGTTAGCTTGGGTGCTTGGTTGGGACAAGCATGCATTGGCAGGCAAGCTGCAGAAGGATGAGGAGGCTACAATTCCCCATTGTTTATCAGTGCAATTTTGACGGCCAACTAGCTGAAAAAAGTTTCAGAGGGTTTATCTAATCTTGCTCATCTTGCTCTGGCTAGCATTAGTTGTTGATCTTGTTGTTGTTGATGTGCATAACTGAGGGAGAGAGAGCCTACCTTTTCATGGTGGTTTGATCAATAGGACTGTAAAGTTCTCAAATGTAGAAATCCATTCAGGTGTATTTTGTGGCTTTTGGCGAATGCGTTCTAATGAGCTAAAGTCGCGGTGATGCAACTGCCTGTAAACACACAGTCCAGTTCAAAGTGAATGATGGCAGGCCCGTGTGGCAAATGGCTTGTTTGTATGAAGGCCTACTGTAGCTCTGATTGGCTATAGCACAGCAGTCTGTATAGACTCCGGTCCTGGACAAGACAATGTTTTTATTCGATTTTATTAACTGCAGTGTCTATTAATTGTCCAAATGCATGGCCACTTTCCCGCTCTATATTACTATAGAATTTTCACAAATGCCTTAGTATACCTAACTCCCAAACATTTGAAGAATTTATGAAAATGTGAAAAGAACCATATCTAAGTGACCGCGTGTCAGATTCTTATATTTTTGTCATTCTTCCTGAGGGTGTATATGAACAGATTTTAATAAGATTTCATGGTCGCTAAAATGCTGTCAGTTCTACTTTAAATGCAACAATGTTTCACGCACATAAGTTATTTTCAAAGAGATGGCTAACAACAGCAAGCGTGCTGCAATAAAAAACACAGTTCCACTCAATAGATCATGATCATTTGAAAGTTAACTTCTTGAAAGTTAGTCTTGAAAAGGGAGAAGCTAACAAATTAACAACAACACCTGCTGCAAACTAGACGACAACAAATGCTAGCTAGCTAGACCGTGGGGAAACTACTGCTCGCTATTGCACAATGACCTGTTGGCCTTCAACATTTAAATTTTAGTCATTTAGCAGACACTCTTATCCAGAGCGACTTACAGTTAGTGAGTGCATACATTTTCATACAAGAAGGCAGAAGTTCCAATACGTTTTTGTAAAAACGGTCCCACCCATTAAATCAAAATGTGATTGGTTGATTCCATTGTCACTCCAAAACGTTGCCCTAATACAGTTGAATGGCAGATGCCTTTATCTAGCGTCTGATGGCCTAGCTAATGGCTGACTTAGCTAGCTAGATTTATCTCCCCAGAGACCAGCAAAGAAAAATCCTGATTGGATAATTTTTTCCCCTTTCCTTTCCAACAAAATCTGAAGAGATGAAATCAGGACATCATTGAAAATAATAATATCATTATTATTACAATCATTATTTTACAAATCCTTAGCCCTTCACTGAAGGCGTAGAAGGCCCATTGTTCCCCACTGTGTTTGGGTTAGTAATAATTTGTAGAGTGGCTCTATTTGCCCTCAGCATGCATTCTTTCACTATTCTGAATGTCTAAAGAATCCATTTGTTTTTCTGAAATATGAACACAGAAATACTGGACATTTTGAACTCTTATTATGGTGGTGATTTGACAAAATTACAATCATGGTCTTTAATTGGACTCGCATTTTTCTGGTCTCGGTCTCATCCCCTCTCCGATCTTGGTCTTGACTTGGACTCGATTTGCTCCAGTCTTGGTCTTGAATCGGTCTCACTTTAGGTGGTCTCGAACACAACACTGGTTTTACTTTAAAGCAACTATTTCTAACTTCCCCCTTGTGGATTGCTGACATGCAAAACATTTTGGGACTATATCAATAATGGACTAATTAAACAAATACCAAAAGATAGTTTTGGGGTATAATTTTCCTTTAAACAGGACATTCTGAAAAAAGAGGATGCCTCTGCCTCCTAGTAATCCCATGACAGCTATGAAATTATGGGATTAAGCCTCATCTGGGATCTAGTCCCACATGACAACAATAACTCTTAACTCGCTATACTAAAATAATTCTGGATTTACGTAATTCTGAAGAATGTTTAAATTGCCTGACATGTTAGGGTGTCACAGATATGGTAATCTGCAGTGTGCTTCTAGACATCTAGGTTGGACATTGCAGAAAAGGAACACTGCACAGTGACATATGCACCCAAGTGTGTTTACCAACAGCATTTCAGCCCGTAGACCTTCATCAGTTCTTAACCTCAGAGTCGGGACCAGTGGTGTAGTGGAAGTATAGGGTACTTTACTCACTGCGAACAGCGTTGTAAACCCACCTTATTTTTCCACACTACATCACTGGTAAAGACGTAACAAAGTAACATGACTTAAAGTAACATATCATAAAGAATTGAAACATAAAGTAACCTAACATAAAGTAACCTAAAATAACAAACACACTTGGAGCATACATCGCAGTATGCAGCCTGTTATTTTTTTGTTGATCTACTTCCAGCATCTTCTCAAAGCCATTAGATATTATGCATATGTTGTAATCCCTTCTGAATCTCAGCTGGACACACTCACAGTGCACTGATCATCTCCTCCTGCATCTTCTGCAGGGAGTCGAGGAGGAGGGGCAGCGTGGTGTCGTGGTAGTGCTCCTGGTGGAGCTGGGCGCTCCGCACCGCCAGCACGTACTGGTTGTGGAGGTTGTGGAGCTTCATGGTGGTCTTGTCGTAGCGCTCCCTCGCCTTCTCCGGCTCCTTGCCTGAAAATCAAACCAAGAAGGAAAAAGTGCTGTGCTGCTGGTTTGTATGGAGGTTTAATTTGGGTGTGCCTCATCATTCGCCTCCCAAGACATGTCAGTCATACGATCTGCCTCCAAAGGTTAGGTGTGGTAGGTATTGATGCACTTCAGATGGTTTCTACTAAGACTTCATGCATTTATTCTAAGGAAAACTGTACTACTAAAACATATTAAACTTGAGTTTTCTGTCAATGTTCAGTAGAAATGTTTACCTTTCACCATTGCTTCTCTGTATTTTTCTTTGGCACTGTGAGCATCCTTTGTTAATTGTCTATAGGTGCCTTTCAACTTTTCTAGGTCGCTTTTTGTCACCTAGAAGAGATCATATCGGAAAAAACAAAAGCAACATTAGCATCTTTGACATAAGTAAAGTTCACCTCATTTACACTCTGACCACAAATGTGAAAGACCCTGTCAACAAACGCCCCATAACCGTAAATAAAGTCAATGCACAGGAAGGATAGTGTATGAAGAAACAGTAAATGTGTGTGTGTGTGTGAGGTGAGTGTATACAGTACCTTGTTCATTTCGGACTCGATCTGTGTGTGGATGCTCTGGTAGCTCTTCTTGACCTGCTGCTTGTCTTTGATCATCATAGTGAGTCTGTGCAGAGGGCCCGAGTTCAGCTCCTCTGCGTGACACTTCATAATCTTACTCAGCTGTTCTGTCTGCTGGACCATGTGGGCCCAAGACTGGAGAGATGGAGGTGGAAGACGAGAGGGAGGTGGAAGAAGAGAGAATGATAGATGAGAGAGAAGGAGAGAGTGGAAGAGAGAGAGAGATATAGGAGATTGAGATGTCACGCCTGATTTCAGTATATAGGAAAATCAACTGGAACTTTTTAGGCATGATGTATTGTGCTAGTCTTTTCTTCTTCTAAGCAAACGCATTTAACGCCTTGGAGTCCTGTAGAAAACGTTCTACACAACCCTGTGACTGATATCCCACTATAACCAACCCAGTTCCACACTCCCCTTCCAACATCCTGCTCAACAGCACAAAAACAACCCACATTCATGTGTGGGAGCCCCACAGGTAAAAACATCAGATAAAAAGGGAGACATGGTCTTAAATTAATCTACATGTTCACTGGTGTGTGTTGTGTCTGTAATAATATAGCATATCATTACTGCTTTGGGGGTCAACAAACCACCATCTGATCATCTCCTATCTCACCTTAGGTTGCTGTAGTCTGTGTTCACTGTTGGGTTTGTATTTAATCTGTCTGTACTGTGTATTGATATTTTTGTATAGGCCTATACCTTGGAGACGTTGCTGATGTAGTCCATCTGGGAGGAGTTGTCGTGCTTGTCCACCTGCTGGCTGATGTTGAGGAGAAGTGAGGCGTACTCCTTGTCGCTCTTCACCCGTAGCGTCATGAAGCGCTTCACCGTCTCCAGCAGCTTCAGCTCCCAGTCCTGCAGCTTCAACAGCCCGTCGTGGGAGTTCCGCAGGTCCCGTCCGAACCCCATCGTCCCTCTTCCCTTCAGTCTTCCTCAAGGCACGCTGTTTAGTCTCACTTCGCCGGGCCGGGAGGATGGGGAATCACCCTCAGGTCTGCATCTTTCCTGGGAGGAGGAGGATTGAGAGAGGGACAGAAAACTAATCATTGATTTTGGCACATACAGAAACTATAGTACATGCGTGAAACCTATTTTTCTACAAAGTACAGCACATAGTTGCTGGAAGGTTTTCTATGACATAGCCTAAATAAAAGGTACTCCTTTGATTCTCCAAACCCTTTATAGACTGCAACAACCTTATTATGCAAGAGGCAGAGTTCTCTGAAATAAAGACCCGTGAATGGGGAGGGGAGGGCGACCAGCTTAGGTCAGGAAGTGGGTGTGAGAACAGTGAACAGCCCAAAACAAAAATGTAACAAGAGATGCAACACATAGCCTAGCCCTAGCCGCATCACACCATCTCTCATCTCTGCTCTCAGGTAGCCTAACTATTTATACCACACTGAGACATTTAAACAAAGTCGATAGGGAGGCCAGAAACCATTGTCTGATATACTGTAGCTACAACAACAGGATGTAGGCTAGTCTATCTCGAACATGAGATAGAAGGGTCAACCTTTATAGATAGGGCAGATTATACACAGACAGACAGCACAGAGACATGTATAATCACTCTACAAGATATTTAATCCGTTTATACCTCAGGGGGGAAACGCGCATTATCTCCATGTCAGATGTCTTCTGTTCTGCTCCATTGTCTCACACAAAATAATTTTAAAGGGAGTTATGTCTCACAAGGGAGTGCTAATAAATAAAGTACCAAGAACATATCTTGAAATAACAGTTTTGGAAGTTAGAAAGTTCGGCAAACACAACTTGTCAAATATGTACCAAGCACCCCAGAGGCTAGAAAAATGTGATTTTCTATTGGGAACGTTGTTGCGTGTGTCCCAGTCAGATTAAACATGCCACCCACTGTAGACTAATTGGAAGGGAACGTCTTCAAATAGTGTGCCTTGATCTAATATTTGAAAACTATGCAATCTCCCTTATGAGAATGGAGTGGCTGAAATTCAGAGAAGTATAACCTTAACAAGAACCGCCTCATTTGAAACCGTGTTATTCGTCAAGCAGGCTTGTCTAACTTGGGTCATAAATGGGTCATAGAATGAATACTAGGACAAGCGCAACAAGAGGCTACTAAGCAAACACAAAACGTCCTCCACATTCAGGAAACCTTTTTAGTCTTGAATTCTCACAAAGTCATGCACTCAAAATTATAATGGTACAGAAGATCATGTGAATTGTATTTAGGCTGTCCATGCAAAATCAAGTGGACGGAGTGTCAGGTTTGTGGACACGGGTCACAGTAAAATATTCAGGCTTGTTGCACATTCTTGGCAAGATGATGTGAGCACTGCCTGAAAGGAATTCAAAAGGCGTAATTTTACCACCCACAAGTCACAGGCTGTCAACAAGGCTGAGGGACATGACTCCACTCTACAGTGTGAGTACTGAAACTATACAGTTTATAGCTACTGTCTCTGATTTATTTCAAAACAAGCTTAAAATGCCATTACAGAAGCTGGATCAGAAGCAAATCTTCAATAGCAGAAAACAAAAGCATGAACCTAACCTCAAAATGATAACATAGGCCTGTTATCATTGGAGGAAACCCCATAAACTGACATACACTACGCTACTAAAAGTGAACTAGCTTAACAGGGACTTCGCCATTCTAGAAAAGCTTTTGTATTAGCCTAGGCCTAATAGCCATGCATTTTTGTGAAACTTGATATCCTGGCTATCGCCTGCCCCTTACATTACTGTGAACAGTTAACATTCCCTTTACTGGTGGCTTTGAACACTTACCTATAGCCACAGGCAACACCACACGTTTTCCTCAACAAATAACATTTTCTAGAACACCTACCTTTACTCAGATATGATCAAGGGAGCATCTTCAGTAACACATTAGTCAACAGTGCATGTTCAAGTCATCAGTGACCTACCAAATGTAAAAGCCACCAGCAAGCATCCTGAGAAAAAGGATGAAAGGAAACCACAAAGTGGTTATTATGCAATTGATGTAGGCTGGCCTAAGAATCAAGCCATGGGACAAGTAGCCTACAATACCAACAAGAGAACGCTTAGGGGGGCCGCAGCTACCTATTCTCAAACATCGTGGGCTATATGACAAAAACACAATACTGGATTGTTTTGTATGTTTCAATGTGAATTTTAGCAAACTATAGGCCTAACAATGACCAGACTGATTTATCCCACTAAACTAAAGCCACAAAATGTCAGTGTCTGACTTATAGGGAGACAAAAGTGGTATTGGAAAACACCAACTAGGGATGGGGTAAGAAATCGATACAGTACAGTATCGCAATATACATTTTGCCGATTTTATATTGATACTGTGCCTCCAAGTTTCGATATGTAAAAATAATAAAATAACTAGGTAGTTAACGTTAGCTAGCACTATTCAGTTGTACCTGCGCCAAAACTCTGGTATTTCTCATCCTATAGCCATATTATTTTTTTATGTTTTAAAATGGTGTGCCAACATGTTTTGAGTACTTTTATCTTCCAAAACTCGTTTTTCTAATGGCTCTCTTGTTCCTCTGCAGCAGACATATAGTGAGCAATACGTTTGGAACATCAAATCGAATAAAATCTCAGAATCTAATCGCAAAAGCCTACATAAAGAATCATGATAAATATAGAATCGCAAAACATATCATATCGGCACCCAAGTATTGTGATAATATTGTATCGTGATGTCCCTGGCAATTCCCATCACTACCACAAACTTACAAAAACAATGGAGTTGACTGCAAGAATACATTTCAGCATCTGACATCCTGATACACAAAGACCATAGAATAGGTCTGTGTTGTTAGTGGACATTCAACACCTTTCAAGCCTTTTTTCTCCATGCTACACAGTATCATTAGCCTAACGCAAGAGAGAGCAAAGCTGCTGACTTGCAGCTGCAGAGAATTGGAGCTTCAGGAACAGGAAGCTGTAAACAGTGTTACACCTTCACCTTTTTCCCTGACACAAAATGGTTGTTGGATGGTGGACCCTCAAACATTTCACATGGAAGAGGTTCCTCCATCATCAGGCAGGCACGTCTCAATACTTAGCCTTTAGGGTCTACGAAGACAACATTGAAAATTAAGCTCACAGGCTTGCATAACATACTGAGTCATCCACAATAAAAAAAATAGCCTCTGACTGGCCATCTAGTGAAAGTACAAGAAGAGGGAGTTTGTTGCGTCACTTACGCGACAGATCACTTTGACCTGACAGTGTATCGTGACAACAACAAACCTTGGGTACAAAAAATAAATTCAGCCAAAGCCAGCACATTTCATAAGCCCACAGATGTGGAAAAACTTGTCAAACAATAAGTCAATGATAACGATGAACAGCTCTCAATTTCAAATTACTCTTTGTAGTAAAAGATGTAGGCTCTTTCAGTCCAAGCTTCACCAAGAGCTAATAAGGTTTCTATTGACAGAGTTTTATGACAACGCTAGAACCTAAATGAGGGACGAGCAAGGTGCAATGCCCAGACTATTTGGATGATTTAATGCAGCCTGTAACAGAGTTACAGTAAATGGGTGTCAAATGGGCCATGATGTTGTTTTTTTAGTCACATTTGGGTTCCTTTCCTACCTAATGTGTGCAACAAATGACTAGTCAAACAGTGTGGTTGAACTTCTACACAGGAGTATGACAGTGAAATGTCTTCTACAATCCTCTCTCACCAGCAATAACACAATTAGGGTGGGTGGTGGTGGGCTGCTGGAGGAGATCATCAGTGGGAGTTAGCTAAGCTCAACAAGGATTTGCAGTGTGCTACAGAACAGGGTATGTGGGGGCACTGCTACTTGAATACCCCATCTGAGTGAGCAGTCTAGTAAAGGAATGTCCTCCTCATTCTTCTCACTGTTGTGGCATGAAAAGGTCATGGACCACAAGGCTGACAGACATAAACAGTGTCCTGACATTAAACAACTGATGATGATATATTATTTTCTGGACTTACATTTCTAACCTATGTATGTAGCTTAATGTAGGTGGTAAGTGTATGCAAACACTGTAGTTAGGCTATTCGTCGGCCAAATGTAATCTGTTAGCTATCTATGACGGGAGAGAATATTGGACACAGCTGGCTGAGTGTGACAAAAGGTTTTGTCAAGTCCTCTTGGACGAGTTGGCTGTGATAAGGTTTGCTGTAACTGCATCCGTTCCATCCGCCCATTTTGTGGCAATTCATAGTACAGTACTTCACAGCAGTATTGCACGTTTACCCAATAATACTGGTTATAATGCCAACAAGTTGTCATGTCAGAACAATTTCTGCAAAACAATAACAATCATGATTACTATTTGAAAGCTGACATTATTTGAACTGTTTCACCTAAAATGGCTATTTAACACAGCAAGGGCTGCCTAACGTTACATGTTTCCCATCGCGAGGAAAGTTTTTGTTAATATTATGCAGTTAAGGCATTAGCTAGTAGCTAGAACAACACATTTTCCAACGCTCCTTACAGTGTGGCGGTGCCTCTTCTTACCAAGCACAGTCCAGTACGTTAGTTAGTTTGCTAGCAAGAGTAGGCTAACTAGCTAAATCTGAACATAATCTGATTCACATTGGCAAGCTAGCTTGCTAACTAGCAAACTATCTTTGCGTTAGCGTGCTAGTTAACATTACCCACAGTGACTATTTTACGGGTGATAAACAGCTACATATTATAAAGGTCGCTATAATAATAGCATGGCTAATTAAGTTATCCGTGTTTTTATTAGCTTGCTAGCTAACCCGCTAGGTAAAGTTAGCTATTCCTGCTAATAATGTCGGGTGCCTGGCTGGACGTTTTTTTCTTTAGGAAAAAAATCCTAAACCATTCCTCGAAAGTGTTCGTTCTCTAGCAAATATCAAATCTACATGTCGATCCCATTCAAATAGACAGTTGATACAATCGATG